TGGCATTGCATTCTGGTAGAATGTTTATTCAAAACGTTGATAACGTTCTACCAGACTGCACGGCGTAACGGTCGAGCATACAGCTATTTTTGTAGTCGCCGTCAAGAAATTCAAGGCTCTTTGCATGGAAGTCCCGGCATATATTCAAAGGGAACAGTGAACCGAGTTTTGGTTTGGGTGCGTAGGGCGGCCAGAAAGTTGCCTTCATCCCCTTTCCAGCCGCAAGTCAGTACAGTACATCGCTATGAGAATCTAAAAAATTTGAAATTTAATATACCAAAATTTTTACAGTCCGTAATTAAGTTCTTAATGTGGAGCCAATCAAAATCAACAACTGATCCATAAAGTTTTTTCTTGTGCGTAACTAAGCACCACGCAATGAAGACGTATGGGGGAGTGGATGTATAAATCCACGTATTCTTGACCTGTTGGCAGTGAATGGTCAGCTTCACAGTCGCTGGAAGACTTCGTTCCTGGACTCATGGATTAGCATTTGTCTACAGGTGTGAGCAGTCTTTCGGGCCACCTTCAGCGTGTCGTCTCTTGAATGCCAAGGAGTTGTAAATGGGTTTTTCAAACCAAAATTATTTTTATTCAAACATATTTGTCTCGTCTGGTAGGTCTGAAAATACAGGACGTAGACCTCCCGGCAGAATCTCGTCATGACCTTGAGAGAGAACGTTGACGCTTCCGACTGTGAATAACTATGATTGTTTTGAACCATCACTCTGTATGCGTAGCCATGTGTTAAGTTCCATATGACCGACGCAGTTTCGTTTTCAATAATGTCATGCGTAAAAACGATTCAAATATTACTCAGTTTTACTTCATAATGACGGGTTACAATGCCCGTATTCTCCGCCCTGAGTTGCAACTGTTTCTAAAGAACTTTCCATTCATTCAAAACGAAGAATACACGGCGCCAAAACCAAGAAGACGACTTTCTTCATAGTCATCGCCGTGAAAACCTCAAAACTTACAAACTTTTCATTTTGTTCCGTATATTGGACGGCCAAGGGGTCGGAGTTTGAGTCACGGCAAGTGCAGGATTTTTCTCCTCTACGCGTCGTCCAGATTGGTTCTGGGGTCCACCCAGTCTCCTATCCAATGGGTACCCGGGACCTTTTCCCCGGTGGTAAAGCGGCCGGGTCGTGAAGCAGACCACTCACCTCCATCTAGGGCGGAGGGCAAGCATACGTGGATATATACATCAACTCCACAATACGTCTTAATGGCGCAGTGCTTAATTAGTTAGCACATGGACAACTTTAGTGTGTGTCACATATAATATATATATACAGGGTGTTTCACGACTTAAGGGCATAACTGCAGGAGGTGATTTCCTAGGTCTTTGTGATCAAAAAATGTTCATATAAACATGTGTCCGATTTTGGACGGTTACGGAGTAATGACCGTTTTAAACTCAGAATAGAAAGTAACGATTAATGGCAATAAACGGAACAAAATAATAAACGAGCAGAATACATGATACATTTAAAGTATGAATGTAAAGTTAACTTCGGGAAATTACCTTTAATTTGAATTTGTTGGTGCTTAAAACTGATTTTCGAAAATGCCACCGCCGGCCGCAACACAGTCTGCCGCTCGGTTGTGAACCGCGCCGGACATACCAACCCACCCCGCCGTACGTATCTCTCAAGTGTCGAGATAACGAGAACGCTCTGTCTGTAGCTGGCTAAAGATAGTGACCCGCCAGCTGACAGACGCGGTTCACACGAGGGCGTGTACGGGAATGAAAAAACGGTCATAACTCCGTAACCGTCCAAAATCGGACACATGTTTATATGAAGTTTTTTGATCACAAAAAACCTAGGAAATTACCTCCTGCAGTTATGCCCTAAAGTCGTGAAACAACCTGTATATAACGTATTCAGGAATTTCTTACTTTGAAGAAAATTATTTCATTTTGAAATTCATATTCAGCTCAAGTATCGCATCCGACTTGTATCCTGATATTAACATTCTGTTTGTCGTGTTTCATACTCTCTCTCTCTCTCTCTTTCTCCCTCTTTCTTTGACCAATGGGGTTACACTGAATCCACATGGTGGTACGCCGGCCACTAGTACAACTGTTGTACTCGCCCGGGATGATGATAGACTATGGTTCCCATATTTTTTTTTCAAAAGACGGGACATTTCCATTTCCCCCCTAAAAAACGGGACACAATAAAAAAATAATAAAATCAAAAAGTAAATAATATTGGTGATTATTGATCTGCATTTTGTTTGTGAACATGTAAATTTATCGCTGAAAAGTTTCCTCACAATAATGGCTGTGCAGATTCAGACCACAAGCCAGAGACCGTCTGTCCTAAGGTGCTTCGGTTTTTCCTCAGTCCCTTCATGTCAAAGCTGGGATAGTATGATCAGTTAGGTCACACCCACCTTCATCCACGCCATTTATTAATCATCCTGTCATTCATTGCTGTATCTTCATGACAGTTGAGGTTGTCATTAAATAAACCAAGAAGATAGTAATTAAGCAATGCTACATCAGTTATTCCACTTTGTTAACAAGTATAACAAATTAACACTGTTATTATTATTGTTATTATTATTATTGTTGTTATTATTATTATTATAAATGATACAAACTCCGTCCTAAGTGCAAACAATATAATATTATTATTATTATTATTGATGGGGGTGGGTTTCCCCATTCACCGCGACTAGTTTGATCTAGTGTACGTCCCTCTGTGATATTCTACCAGTCCCTATACCCTACCGGTACTGGTGCATGCCATCGGTCCCGAATCAGCCAGCGAGTTCGGCCTCTGCTGGCTCAGCGGTATCTAGATGGTTCCCCCATCTACCAGAGGCGTTAGAGACTATTGTTGGGCGGGAAATGTCCTTACAAATTTGGCTCACAGGTCTCCTTGAGACATGAGGTTCTTTTACATGCCGTAAAGCGACGACACGGGACCCACGGCTTAAAGTTCCTCCCGGAGGACTTGTTCCCTGAATTTTCCGCCCTTAGAAATTCCATGACCTCCGCCGGGTTTGAACCCACGTACCTTGAGTCATGAGGTGGGAACGTTTCCCCTAGACTATGGAGGCCGCTAATTAACACTGTAAAATGAATAAGAAATATATAACTGGAAGAGAGAAGAAATGTCTCATTAAAGCTCCATGTGGATTGCTTATTAACCTGCCAGGAATGCTGCTAATTTGATGCTTGTATTTTCAGTTCTGGTTGTTGGCACGATCTCATGGTTTGTCTGTCTGCCAACGTTTTGGAGATCTCATCAGTTCTCATCTTGAAGATGCATGTATAATTGAACAGAATTTACTGAGATACTGTATTAATGTGATGAATGCATACAGCCTCCCTTCTTAGTACTTTGTTTGAGTGAATTTATTTAAAATTGATTTGAGAATGCAGTTGCAGAGGCTGCTGCTACTCTTTCGAATAAACCTGGACTATAATTCTTGCTCCGCTCACAAGGGGTTTTCAGTGAAGGAAGATACTTCATGCACTGTCCATATTATTGTATGTACCGGCAGATATATTGAAATTCACCAAGAGTGCTGTGTTATAGGGAATGGATTCCAGACTATATTGTTTGGCTTACCGTTGTTAGTCAGTGCTTACATGGTCAGTACACACCTTGCTTGAGGTGATTTGTATACTGAAGGAAGATGAGGGAGGAAACATTCTTCTTTGTGATATGCATAAACTTGTGAAAATCATTGTTATTTTATCAGTGAGGCAATGATAAATTTTTTATTGTTTTAATACAGAGTACAAACTCAGAAGTGAGTTTGATTTCTTTCATTCTAGCCCTTCACAATAACAATATAGTCGAGCGTGACTAATAAAGATTTTTCTTATTTCAATCCTTCATCCCTTACATGTTTCGGTCTTTACAGACCATTCTCAGAGGGACATCAATACAATCGGAAGCTTACATGTTTCGGTCTTTACAGACCACCCTCAGAGGGACATCAATACAATCGGAAGCTTACATGTTTCGGTCTTTAAAGACTACCCNCAGACCATCCTCAGAGGGACGTTAATACAATCGGAAGCTTACATGTTTCGTTCTTTACAGAGGACCCTTAGAGGGACATCAATACAATCAAAAGCTTACATGTTTCGGTCTTTACAGACCATCAGTACAACTGGAAGCTTCCAGTTGTACTGATGTCCCTCTGAGGATGGTCTGTAAAGACCGAAACATATAAGGGATGAGGGATTGAAATAAGAAAAATCTTTACTAGTCACACTCAGTGGAACTGTTTAACCTCTTAGGCCAGAAGTGAGTGTTTCTAATGTAAATGGTTTTGAAATAGATTGTGTATGCTCTGTTGAAATATTTTGAATATTTCATATTTTTATTTGTTGTTAAATTTTACATTATGTTTTACATGATGTAGTATGTCTTACGTGGTTTTTAAAATGTCTTGAAGTACGATTTTGCAGTTTTCCTTATTTATTCCAGATGTGCAGCAATTGAAAAATAATGTGAGGCTGTCTTGATCCCATATATTCTTAATCTGTAGTTCACCCAGTACCAGCAAAATGTCCATACACTGTAACCCAGTTTGAAACCCTTCTGATTATGGTCTCCCAATGCTTCCAACACTCTGATGAATGTGCTGTTGTATCTTTAGCTTTACACTTTCTCAGCTCTCTTTTTATTTTAATTTGCTTTGTGGGGGGTGGAGTCCAACTGGGTCCACTTGGCACGGCGGCCACTGATTGGCCTATTGTAGCCTTCCCCAGGTGATTATGATGATGGAGAATTTGGTGGAATGAAGATTGGCAGGGGAAACCGAAGTACTTTCAGAAAACCCGCCCCACCGCCACTTTGTCCCTCACAAATCCCACTTGACCAGACCCGGGATTGAACCCGGGCCGCTGCGGTGGGAAGCCAGCAACTAACCACTTGAGCTATGGTGCGGCCTTCTCAGCTCTCTTAGTTTTGCCTGATCACATTTTGATTCTGCTGTACATTAGAATTTTTTTATTCTTTCAGATATGGACTGCCCTTTACCTCGTGATGATGATTTCCTGCAGCAGCTCTCAAATGATCTTGAGGTGTCGTTTTTACATTGTATCTTTGTATACTTTTATATATCATAAACATTAAATTTTATATTTTAATATCTACCAGAGTATCTTTGGTAATATTTTATTTGGTTCAGTGGCTCTGTTACATTACTTCAAGCATGCAAGAAAATATGAACATTTAACATTTATAACACTTTATCTTGTTCAGCAGCTTCGTCTTAAAGCTTCTAGCATGATAGTGAGTAGGATATGCTTTTTCTGTGCCTCTCACAATTCCAGTATATGTGGCAGTATTTATGTTTGTTCTTTAAGTCTTTCTAATCATCCTGTACATAATGCTGATATTATCAAGATAGGGTCATTGGAAGATATGAAACCAACATTTGAAATGAGAGTAAATTCACAAGTATTTACAGTACTGTTAGGTTAATCTCTAGTAGTTTGTTCCAGTCATAAACAGGACACATTTCAGTAATGTTCCTTAGTTTGCTAATATTAAAAGAAATTTGTATTTTCACTTCCTGACTTGCCAGCCTAGGTATCGTGGGGCTGTAGTTCAGTACACAAGGTTTTAGCAGGCCACATGAGGTTGCACATTGAAGTTTTTTTTCCTCACCAATTGAGAATTCATCATTATCTTCCCCATCCAGAAATCTGCTTTGAGAGTGTTAACCCTTTGAAGGTAAAAAGGTAAGGCTGGCCCTGTAACAGGTCATGGAGGCCGATAGGGTTGTGTGACGTTGAAGTTCCCACATTTTCTAGATAATTGGCTCATAGATGGCAGCCCTATAAAGCACAGTGGTTATTATATGTCCCACTTGCTTTAACATAAAAAAACACTATATTTGTTGGTTCTGTATGATGCTCAAAATAAACAGCATTAACTGGTTTAGCTTGGTAATTAAGATGATGTATGTTTTCTGTCAGGTATGAACTGAATCTGTCAGTATTATTTAAAATTCAGAAAGTGACACTATAATGAACAAAATTTTTCTCTATTAGGTTTCTTTAAATAGATATTTATTAACTACTTATGATCTGTAACTAATATGGTACTTTCTTGGGCTGCCTCTCCATTTTAGTGTAGACATACAGTGGAACCTCAATTGACGAGCAACATTTTTCCCATATAAATTAATGTAATATACGATAATGCGTTCCATGCTGAAAAAAATACTCAAGAAATTTTATATATAACGTTTATTCAAAGAAAAGTATGTTAAGGAGCGTCAATCATCTTCATCTTTTCTTCTATGCGGAATGAACCAACCTGGAATGTTAATTCGATTTGCAGAAAACAAAAAAAAAAATCGAAATAATTAGTTTATTATTTATGATACATATCTAATTCCTTTTTATTAGAAAGCTGTCTAGAGACATTTGTTTTTGCCAACACTTCAAAATTTGGTGAAAATGCGACACAGCATTAAATAAATTTGTAGTGCTCATAGCCACTGCCTTATTAAGGTGATGCTTCTCATTGTACGATTCAGCAGTTCCCCATGCTTTCAGCATTTCTCTTATTGCACTAGAAGATCCAGTGAAAGTAGTTGATCCAGGGTCTCCTGTAAACGGTCTCGGTAGTACTCATAATCCTCAAGTGGGGTGCTGGCAGTGGATTTCCTTATAGAGGTACTGAACTTTGTCACTTTTGCCCTTTCTGTGGGGCGCTTCCTCGTTAGTCTTCCGAGTTTGGCGTCCGCCATGTCGAGTTGTATTGTATGTATCCCGCTTCCCGGGTTTCGGCACCAAAAATGTCATGAATAAGACCTCGAGGGGGTATCCTTCCGATGTCACCTTATTACTATCTGAATGTAGAACTATCCGTCTCTCTGTCCAGTTCAACCACTATCTTCTGATGGCGCACACTGCCCACTCTGCACACAAGAACTTTCTTCTCTCTGCCCTCACAGTACACTGCTAGTCACACATTTTGTCTCTCAGCCTTGTAAGAAGCTGTGAGCTCATCAAAAGCTTACTGTTCATCCCCATGAAAGTTTTGAAGACATTGTACACAAGAGCCACAATTGTTTGGTTCCAGTGCTCTTTGCTGATGCGGTACAGAGCTGGGAACATTATTGGCATGATCACATAGTTGTTTTCCTCAGTCAGGCTCATTATGTACTCATTATTCCATAAATACGTTCAGCCACCTGAAAGTGAGGACTAGAGACACATCTTGAAATTTGTCTGAACAACGGTTCCTGAATTTTGGCAAACTGTGATGGTTCAATTACATCTAAAATTCCTCCAATTTCACCAAGGAACATCACCTCTTTCTGACTGCACATTTTAGGCCAGAACTTGAGTAGCCCTTTAACAACAGTTTCAGTTAGCGTGGCATCCTTTTTAAGGAACTGAACCACACAGTATGCCAGCTGTGCATGGTACAATGACAGACATTTAACTTTGTGCAGTTGCAGCAGAACCTTTACGAGGAATTGCTTGTGTTCTGACTTAAGTGGTAGAGCAAAGCCGTTGATAATGTTTCCTAATATTTCCAATAACTCTCCAACACCATTAAAATGCTCTGTCTCATATACAGACATAAGGAAGATGTTATTTATTTGTTTGCGTATGAAAGCACGTAGCCCCAGGAATTTTCCATAGATGCGATGCAGAACAGTCTTAAGGAAATCACACTCCCGAGGGTCTTCACTGTCAAATAAGTCTAATAACTGTAGCACAAATTTTTGGTCTATTACTTTCTTGCCAATGGTGGGCTGAAAGTCAGAGGATTCCAAGAACCATAGGAAAAACTCATACACTAACTGCAAGTGTGGCCATGACGCTTCTAATGTTGGGTCATCTTCTTCTGGATCAAAATCACTGGGCGGCAAGGTCCGGAACAGATTTGCTGAGATCATTCTGATGATCTCAGGGTAAACAGGCTCAGTAAGTACACCCCGGCCTGCTGTAATGAAGTCCACCAGCTCATTCAGAGTAGCTCGTTTAATTTCCTTTCCCTTCAGGTCAGCCACTGGGTCCATGAAGTCAAATGCCACACAGCACTGTCGCAGTTTGCGAATAAACAGCTGCTCCTGCTCTGAAGATGGGACATCTTCTCCAGAAATTCCGAAAAGCCCGTGGGATGACATTATATGAAGAG